TCATATATATATATGTAAAAAAAAATTGATAAAAGAAAAAAATTCATTAAATTTGAACCATAAAAATAAACAAAAAATAAATATTCTAAATAGTGTTTCCTGAAAAAATTTTTTTTTTTTAGTCATCAAATATTTATCATAGCCAATTTTGTTTTTGAATGATAAAAAATTTTAACAGAATGTTTAAAGTTTAAGTTGACTATTTAGATCTATCTCAATGTGAATCTAAAAGGAAGATAGATTAAAATTTCCACTATACAATGACAATGTAAAATGAATATACTTTTGTTGAATTTGTCATTAACGTCCATCAAAAACTTTGAAAAAGGAAAGAGAGCTAATGAGGAAAAACCACATTCTAAGGACCCCATTTTGTCAAAACAAGCCTTATTGAGCAATGTTAATACAGAGAATGAAACTTTTAAATCTGGTGAAAGTTTGAACAAATGCTACAATTGTTTGGCAAAAACTGGAAAAACTTTTAAAAATTTAAATATTAACAGGTGGTTATATGAATATCGTTTAAATTTTATATTTATTTTTTTTTAAGCATTTCACCCCAAGCAAGGCGGGAAGCCACTAGGACGCAAGGGGTTACAGAAAATTTGGAGCAAGATCAGATATAGGAGTGATAGAAGAAAGGATGAGGAGAAGGATAGTGGATAGATCAAGGCAACTGGAGATGTCGATTGACATTACATTTGAATAGCTGGAGATTATAGCTCTCAGGGAAACAGGAATAGGGATTAGTTCCACAGGCGAGAGGTGCGAGACATGAAGCTATTGGAGTAGAAGAGACGGCTACATTTAGGAGTTTCGACAGTGAAGGGGTGAGAGCAGGATGCCAGCCTCGTAGGGGCGCTTGAACTCATGAAGTCTGGGAACCAGCGAATGCAGCTCCTCGGAGCAATTACCATGAAAGTATTTGTAAAACAGACAGAGAGAGGCGACGGCGCGTCTGTGAGAAAGTGACTGTAGACGAGATGCCAGATCAGGGCCAATTATATTGCATATCCGCCTCTGGAGCCTATCAAGAACCCTGAGGCAAACAGAAGGGGCTCCAGACCATATATGGCAGCAATACTCCATGCAAGGGCGAATTGTTGATTTGTAGATCTGGAGGATCGATTCGGGGAGAAAAATTTCCTGGCGCGGCACAGGGAGCCAACTTTCCTTGCGGTGGACGAAGCAATTGACTCAATGTATTTGTTCCATCTCAGGTCAGCAGTCAACGTGAGACCGAGAAGCCGACGAGAGTTGCTCTCGAGAAGATGAGCGTCAGACATTCTAATGGAGAGAAGGGAAGGATCTTAAATAAAATAAATAAAATAGGTTATTATAATTTACATACCTTTGAATACCTTCTTCGACTTTTGATAAATATTTTATTTTTTCAACATGAAACTAATTTAATTTCCTTTCCCTGGGACGTGTAGTTAATCATATATTCACATTTTAAATTATGTCAGTGTTTGGGATACTGTATTTTAACAAGTCAATGTAACTGTTATCATATCAGACAGTTTCTTTTATTAATGAAATCTAACGACATTTGGGTTTCAAAATAAATTACTCTTAACATTACCAAAATAAGCTTTTCTCTCTTTATTTATATATTATTTTAATTTATTTCCACCATGATAATATATTGTATGTTTTCTATTCCATACCAAAACCAAATCAATTAGCATAAATTAATAAAATTGCAACGTCTGCTGAATTATTTCTTATTTTTTTAAGAGAAATGCTCGTAAGACGCGGATATGGCAAGGAAGAAATAAATGGCAGAAAGGAAGATAGAGGCGTTTAACATGACCTGGGAATATCTCATGAATAATAGACTACACCGATTTGATCAGGTGGAAAGACGGGGAAAGCACACGACTTGGATTCCATGAGAAAATGGCAGAGAAAGATAGATAAAAGAAGGGAAAGAGTTTAACATGTCCTGCCATTACCTCATAAATAATAGACTAAACCGTTTTGGTCAAGTGGAAAGAGGTGAAAACACGACTTGCTTTCAGTAAGAAAATGAAATAAATAAATATATAAATAAATAAATAAATAAATAAAGAAATAAATAAAGAAAGAAAGAAAGAAATAAATAAATAATTTAATGTAAATAATAAATTCCAATATGTCTATATTTCTGAGATGAGTGCACTATTTACATTATTCGGACTATTGTCCTCATCTTTGTCGCTATATTTACTACAAGGTTTCGGCCGTTGTACGCTCCGGCCTTCTTCAGGTAGTTGGAATGTCGAACTGAACCCTTTATTTCGCTCACGTGGGATAGACTCTCCTAAAAAACACATGGCACAGTCGATAAAGACGTTGATTAGATCTAGTGACAGGACCCAAAGAGTGTGAGTTCAATACCCGGTTAAGGCAGTGGAGAACTTGGAGAGGGAAATTAACAGGGAGATAAAAATCCATTAAACATAAATCGTGGAACTGGAACATTGTATTCACTATCTCATTAAACAAATAAATCAACGTGGAATCTGTTTTAGATCATCCTTCTCAATTTCAAATATTTTCATTTGATACAATATTCTCAAAGATGAAATCCAACATTCAAAGATTTTATTAAATTTGGACGGGTTTAGTTTTAAGAAAGTTCTTTTTTTTAACGATAATCAGGAATTTCTGAATATCTTGTCATTTAAAGAAAAAAGATTTTCTTTTTCAATCATTAACTTTCGTCTAAAAAGATTCATTTGAACAAAAGAGAAATTGTTTAAGTTTTAAAACGGCTTTTTTAGTTTTGTTAAGGCTTTTATTGAATATTTCAAAAATTAGGGGAATTTGGATATTTTATTGTCGTAGAACTCGCCATAATTAACAAAGATTTTATTCAATTTTTAACTAAATTGTCCAAATCATAAAAAAAAATAGAAAAACGTGAAATTATTATAGTTATTTCTAGTTTTGTTAATGTTCAAATATTTTTGATAAGGAAATTTTGTGGATATTTTATTGTCGTAGAACCGGAGAAATAGCTTATTCAATCATTAACTGAAGAATTAAGATATTCAGAAATTTGAAATAGGAAAACATTTTATGAAATTATTACGGGTCTTTCTTTTTTGTTTTAAAGTTGTTAAGCTCAAATATTTAACGATGCGATAGGGGAATTTCTACGGATATTTTATTGTCGTAGAACTCGCCATCAGCTTATTCAATCATTAAGTTGAAGAATTAAAGATTCATCAGAAATTTGAAATAGGAAAACGTGAAATTATTACGGGTCTTTCTAGTTTTGTTAAGGTTGTTAAGCTCAAATATTTAACGATGCAATAAGGGAATTTCTACGGATATTTTATTGTCGTAGAACTCGCCATCAACTTATTCAATCATTAACTGAAGAATTAAGATTCATCAGAAATTTGAAATAGGAAAACCGTGAAATTATTACGGGTCTTTCTAGTTTTATTGATTTTGTTAAGTTCAAATATTTAACGATGCGATAGGGGAATTTCTGTGGATATTTTATTGTCGTAGAACTCGCCATCAGCTTATTCAATCATTAAATGAAGAATTAAGATTCATCAGAAATTTGAAATAGGAAAAACGTGAAATTATTACGGGTCTTTCTAGTTTTGTTAAGGTTGTTAAGCTCAAATATTTAACGATGCGATAGGGGAATTTCTACGGATATTTTATTGTCGTAGAACTCGCCATCAGCTTATTCAATCATTAAATGAAGAATTAAGATTCATCAGAAATTTGAAATAAGAAAACCGTGAAATTATTACGGGTCTTTCTAGTTTTGTTAAGGTTGTTAAGCTCAAATATTTAACGATGCGATAGGGGAATTTCTACGGATATTTTATTGTCGTAGAACTCGCCATCAGCTTATTCAAACATTAAATGAAGAATTAAGATTCATCAGAAATTTGAAATAGGAAAAACGTGAAATTATTTTTAGGTCTTTCTAGTTTTGTTAAGGTTGTTAAGCTCAAATATTTAACGATGCGATAAGGGAATTTCTACGGATATTTTATTGTCGTAGAACTCGCCATCAGCTTATTCAATCATTAACTGAAGAATTAAGATTCATCAGAAATTTGAAATAGGAAAACCGTGAAATTATTACGAGTCTTTCTAGTTTTGTTAAGGTTGTTAAGCTCAAATATTTAACGATGCGATAAGGGAATTTTTACGGATATTTTATTGTCGTAGAACTCGTCATCAGCTTATTCAATCATTAACTGAAGAATTAAGATTCATCAGAAATTTGAAATAGGAAAACCGTGAAATTATTACGAGTCTTTCTAGTTTTGTTAAGGTTGTTAAGCTCAAATATTTAACGATGCGATAAGGGAATTTTTACGGATATTTTATTGTCGTAGAACTCACCATCAGCTTATTCAATAATTAACTGAAGAATTAATAATTATGATTCATCAGATAATTTACATACTAAAATCTTGAAAACAAAAGAATAAATATATCTTAAGAAATATAAATACCTTGTATCACTTCAGATCTTTCGTATTATCGCCCCTCCAAAGAATTCGACATTAAATTCCTGATAGATTAATATGTTTCTGCTTTGGAGCTCTTTCGTGAATGATTCTTTCTGTTCAAAGATGGATGTCCTTAAGAGAACAACATTCTGGATCTTGTCAAAGAATTCCACGTGTCGCAAAATGATCTGTAGAAATGTTGAATGTCTATTTGTACAACCGACCTTTCTCGAACTGACCGAATCTCGGATCCATTTTCATTGCCGTCTTCCCTGATTGGATATTTGTCTTCCCGTCGGATCTGGAGAAAGTCACACACGTTCTATTTTGAATCGAATCGAAAGGAAAAAAGACATTTGTCTTTCTGCTCCCAATTTTCCAGGCTTACATCCATATCCCATTGAAATATCAGCTACCGTACAATCACCATAGTTAAGCAACGTCGAGTATGGACAGTAACTAAATGGGAGACTGCTTTGGGAAACCAGATGTTGTAAGCTTGGATGTGTTGCTGGCGTATTGGGTCTGCAGCTATATCACGTCGAAACACTAGCTCCCGTACAATCACCAAAGTTAAGCAACGTCGTGTCTGCACAGTACCTAGATGGGCGACCTCTTGTGAGTACGAGTTGCTGTAAGGTTGTATGGGAGGGTGGCAAAATGGCCTTACGACCATATCACATTGAAACATCGTTTCCCGTACGATCGACGAAGTTAAGCAACGCCGAATCTGGTTAGTAGCTCGATGATGTTACTGCTTATGAATAGCAGGTGCTCTAAGCTTGGTTGGTATAATCGGCTTACGCCAATATCACTCTTAAACAGAAGTTAAGCAACGTCGAGTCTGGTTAGTACTTAGATGGGTGCCCGCAGGAGAATAGCAGGAACTCTAAGCTTCGATTTTTAATCGAGCAGCCGGGTTTCAATTCACGTTGAGTTCGTTATATTAACTTACACTCAAATACCACTGGGAAATGCATTTCCCCTTTTGAACTGCCAGCGATTAGTAAGACTTTTATCAATAAATCATTATTATACTTTCTTAAAATATTTTCTGGCTTTAAATAACCTGCAAATGGCTGATAAACCGTAAAAAACGAATCACTCAATGAAACAATGATTAGCTACACAGGCATTTATTTTAAATTTATTTATATTCTCTGGAATATAAATATATAGAAACTACTATAAACACTAATTGAGGGATTGATTTATATATTCATTGTAATATAGTATTGATCCCCGACCTTATATCCATATTATATTTTCTTGTTTGTTTATCAGATTAGGTACGAAACTACCTCTTCTCCCCAGCTGTGGGTTAAATAGTAAGACGTGCATCATTAAATTATTATTATGTAAAAAAAAATAACGTGATCTTAAAATATTTCTTGGCTTTACATAAAGGGTTGTTAAACCCTAAAAAACTAATTAATCAGTCATTTTTGTGATCTGTGAAATCCTCCTACGATTTTTAAATTTCGATTTTATTTTTAGGTTATTTTATAGCCGGACATATCTGTCTTTCTTTCGCCAAATGACCTTATTACTTTTTCAGCAATTTAATGACAGCGTTTCAGGAAAATTACTGCCGCAAATCGTGTCGTAAAAATAATGTTGATAAAAACTCAAAGATCCTCGGAGTAGCTGTGGTTTTTCCTGGGTAATATAGGCTGACGGATCCCAACGATCTCAAGACAAATATTTGAATTCAAAGTTTTTCATCTAAACCGGTTGCCAGCCAAGGCTATAAGGAATAGTCTTATAGCTGCTATTTATCATCACTGTAGTAATGGATTCAGCTTAGTAGCACGTACGTGTATGTGTGATACTCGACTGAAAATTGAACTTTATTTTCCGTTTCAACAGTCCGACTCGCAGTCCATTCGGGCAATGTGCCTTGTCTTTGTGATTTTTGAGAAATAATCCAAAGACTAATCTAGGTCTTTGAAATAGTTCACGAGCTATTCTCAAAAGTCGTTGAATCAGTTGATACGGGTAACTTGGAGATGACTGTTATACCCTGAATAAAAACAGTAATCTATTGGCATTCGGATAAGTCGGGTAGGTCATTTGTTAGAGTGGATGATAAGCAACGAATACTGTATGGGCGGTAGCAGGCTAGATTGTCGAAGGACAAAGTTTTAAAAGACAAGTATCGAAAGACGAATTGACATAATGTCGAAATGACAAAGTCCCCAAAAGGTGAAATTATTGAACAACGTAAAAACGAACATATCGTCATGATTTTAAAAATTCTTCTCAAATTTAAAAGGTTTTTGTCTTTTTTTTTTTTTTCTACCGAAAGTTTTTATATTAAATTAAAATTTAAAAATAATTATTTAAAAGTAGAATATTTGCATGCTAAGTAAAAAATATTCTATCGTTGGCACATTACTGGCCTTTCGTCATTTTATCAGCTCGACTCTTTTTCCGTTCAGTACTTTGTCCACTTGAGATTTTGTCTGTTCGACACTTAGTCCTTCAACACTCTGCCTGCGTACAAGATGGACAGATAAAGTAAGCTAAAAAGCCACAACATTAAAAATAATTAAAGGCGCCTTTTAAATTTTTCGAGTCGCCATCTTTAAACTGACTGCCAAACAAAACAAGAGAGCTCAGTCTGTCCTGCTATTTAACCCTTATTTGGGAGAGAAGAGATGACTTTAATTAATCATAGCGGGTGATTACTAGCAGGATATTTTACATGCGAAGTAAAAAGGTGTTCTATTGTAAGAATATTTCTGGTCTTCCGTTATTTTGTTAGCCTGACTCTTTTTCCGTTCGGCACGCTGTCCACTCGAGATATGTCTGTTCGACACTTTGTACACAAAGGTAAACGCAGGAAGATAAAAGGCCGCAATATTAAAAATATGTAAAAACACTTTTTACATATCGAGTCTCTATACTCAGACCTCTCTCTCACTTTTACTCTCTGTAATCACTCCCACCGGCATGCTAGTGGCACCCCCCCCCCGTTACTTGGGTTAAAATGCTTAAAGATTTTATATATATGATTTGTGATTAGTCCGAGAAAGGGTGGCCAATGATTTGCCAGGAATGAACAAGTTCGCTGAAGGCTGGTATAATGCCCTCCGTAAAAGATTAAGGTCTTGTCACCCAACAGAGGATATTAAAATACTAAAATTCGAAAAAAAAAAAAAAGCTCTAAAACTAGCAGAAAACGTGATCAAGTAATGTAATTTAGCGTCCCTTTTACTCTACCGGATATTTTGATTGTAAAAGAAGGATGTATAAAAGAAGGATTTTATATATATATATATATATATATATATATATATATATATATACAGTGTAACCGGGATATAAGAGACCTGGATATAAGAGAAACCCGGATATAAGAGAGATTTTCTCCGGTCCCAAATTAGAGCCTGTGTTAATGTATATAAAATAGACCAAACCCGGATATAAGAGAAACCCGGATATAAGAGACTTCTTCTCCGGTCCCGACAACTCTCTCATATCCGGGTTACATTGTATATGTATATCAAGGAAAAATAAAATGATATAGAAATTGTATAAGGATTATATATAAAGTAAGAAAATACATTTTCTGTTTCTATAATACAATTCCGAAACTTATGTATTAGTCAAAAATAAAATAATCTTTTTTTTTCATCGAATGGTTATGGGGTCCACCAAAAAGAATTAAAATTAAAAGTGGTCCATGGGTAAAAAAAAAATGGTTGAAAACCACTGATCTACATAGTTAGGTACCATTCAGAAGGGTAAAAGAAGGAAGCCGGTGTTTGCAATTGATTTGGGATTAGTTCAAGAAAGGCTGGCCAATGATTTGCCAGGAACGAACAGGTCCGCATAATGCCCTCCATAAAAGATTAAGGCTTTGTCACCCTACAGAGGATAAGCTTTTGAGAAAACTTAGCCCGGAGAAAACCAGAAATGAAATGATTTTGTTATCTTCTCCAGTGGATAACAAAAAATAAAAAAATTGGTTGAACCCAGTGATTTGACCCAGGAGTTGCGAGTTCAATACCAGGCTACAGCAAAGGAGAGCTGTGTTAAAGGGAGATAACTGATACTGAGACATCTAGAAGAGGCCTGGCACGTGGAACTAGAACAATCTGTCCACCGTGGACGAAACAAAGGATTCAGTTCGAAAACTGAATCACCTGAAAAAGAATGGAATGTCAACCGGCCGAAACGTCATGAATGTGGCAACGAAAATGAAATGGAAATTATTTACCGGCATGTGAAATAAAAAGTTATTCTAGTGTAGGAACATTTCTGGCCTTTCGTTATTTCGTCAGTTCTAGTTTTTTTTTTGTTTTTTTTTGTTTTTTGTTCGCTTTTTTGTTCATTCGACACTCTGCCTGTGGACAAGATTGACAGATAACTGAGACTAAAAGGTCGCGACATTAAAAACATTTAAAATGCCTTTTAAATTTATACAAGACAAAAGAGCCGAGTCTGTCCTGCTATTTAACCCATACATGGGAGATAAGATATGATTTCATTTATTCAGCGTGGGTGATAAGCACATACCAAAAACAACTGCCTTTTGAACAAATAAACAAAGCTAACAGTCCAAAGAATAAAGAAAAGTGTTTTAAAGCTTCAAATATACAACACTGACAGGTTTTAAAATCACTCAGTATAATTGGTCGAATAATGCCACTGGCTTATTAAATGGAGCAGATTTATTTACGAGGGGGTGAAAGTCTTTGAGGAAAACAGCTACCGAACTCCTGCTATTCATCTCGAGGTTCTTTATAAAATCCAAAGAAATACTTGCAATGTAATCGATTCTGACTTGCCATTTATTTAAAAATAATTATTTAACAGTAATTATTTGCATGCTAAGTCAAAAGGTATTCTATTGTAGACATATTTCTGGCCTTTCGTCATTTTGCCAGTTGGGATCTTTTTCCATTCGGCACTTTGTCCACTCGAGACATTGTCTCTTCGACACTTTGTCCTTCAATACTCTGCCTGCATACAAGATGGACAGATAAAGGAAGCTAAAAGCTATTAAAACATTTAAAGGCGCCTTTTTAATTTATCGAGACGCCATCTTTAGACTTGGCTGACAAACAAGACAAAAGAGCCAAGTCTGTCCTGCTATTTAAGCCATACCTGGGAGAGAAGAAATGATTTCATTTAATGGGAGTGGGTGATAAGCACATACCAAAAACAACTACCGTATGAATAAATAAACGAAGCTAACAGTCTAAAGAATAAAGTAAAAGTACGTTTTAAAGCCTCAAATATACAAGTCACTGACAGGTTTTAAAACCACTCATGATAATTTATAGAGTAATACCATTGGCCGATTAAATGGAGTAGATTTATTTACGAGGGGGTGAAAGTCTTTGAGGAAAACAGATACCATCACGCAAAGGTGAAAAGGGTTGCAAGAAAAGGGGTTGATAATGGCTGATGGCAACTGACTTCTCTGTTTGATATTTGTAGCCGTGTCTGTCTCCCTCAAGCTTGCCTGACCAAACTATATGAAAAGCCAGGGTCTAAGACGTCCAAATGGTGACACGCAACTAATTTCACCAGATTTATTCTGTCCATTTTGTGATAAACTTTATAGAAATTAGTAGCCATTTGTGAATTCTGACAACATCAAGGCACAATCCAAAAAAAGAGTTTT